TGTTATCACGAGGGACCAGTTCCTGGAGAAGGACATCATGCTTGGTAAAGTAGAGGGTCAGCGAAAAAGAGGAAGACCCTCAATGAGATGGATTGACACAGTGGCTACAACAGTGGGCTCAGACATAGCAACGACTGTGAGGATGGTGCAGGACCGGACAGTGTTTCGTTCTGTTGTACATACGGTCGCTATGAGTTGGAACCAACTCCACGGCACCTGACGACAACAACAACATGCATCTAGTAGGTTGTTTTATTTGGTCTCAGGGACCATTATTAGGGCTATCTGGGTTGTTTTCTTTGGCTTCCTTGCTGGTATATGTATCCGAAGGTCCCATACGGAGTGTCATTCACAGCACTCATGTCTCAGTAAGAATAGCAAATTTTGCTTTATCCCTTGTCCCTAATCAGATTGCCAGCTCAACTCAATCTTTATCTCCAATCTCCTTTCCTCTCCATTGGTGTTTTATTATTTTTCTAACCCAGAGGAGCCAGACTCTCAGATTAAGCATTTCTTGAATTTACATATTATAATCTCATCTGCTCATTTCCTTTGCCGGTCATTGTACATTTGGTAATTCTATTATTATAGATCATTATCTAGGAAACCATGTTGTTTTCCACAGGAGTGTCTGGAACCCCTGCTGTCCTATCCTTAGAGGTTTTACTCTGAAATATACTTGTGTTGTTGTTGTTAGTTGTAAACAAGTCGATTCCAGTCACAGTGACCCTTAGTGTACAGAGTAGAACTGCTCCGTAAAGTTTTCAAGGCTGTGACCTTTTGAAAGCAGATCACCAGGCTGGTCTTCTGAGGCGCCTCTGGGTGTGTTCAAAAGGCCAACCTTTTGGGTGGTAGTTGAGCATTTAACCATCTGCACCACCCATGGACTCCATGAGATACACTTATGCTTAATCAAAAAGTCTAAAAGAAATAGATGTTTATTTCTGTAACCAGGAAAGTGAGTTTCCATTTTTAATACTACACTTTGAATGCCTTCATATTTCAGAGCTGTGAAAAGGTTCTTATTTGTATATGTGTGCCTATGTATTTTATTTTTATATCTGTACATGCACATATCTATACAGATAACATCCATATTTATTTATGCGTGTATGGACATAAAAGACAAACATGCTATTTGTATAAAATAATCAACATATAAATATCCAAACTTTTATTTTGTGAAAAACTATGCTCTAATACTTTACTTACCCTAAACACAGCTGTTTCCCCATCTCTCTCTTTTGGGACTTCTTATTTCTTGGGGAAGGAGCCCTGGTGGTGCAGTGGTTAAAGCACTCAGCTGCTAACCCAAAGGTTGGCGGTTCAAACCCACCAGCCATTCCATGGGAGAAAGATATGGCAGTCTGCTTCCATAAGGATTTACAGGACACTTCTACTCTTTCCTGTAGGGTCGCTATGAGTCAAAATTGACTTGACGGCAGTGGATTTCTTTTTGGTTTCCTTCTTGGAGAGTCAAAAAGAACACCAAAATAGTACTTGAGCCGTTAAAATGGGTTTTATAAAGTCTGCTTTAAAGATAGTTTCAAGAATGTGAAAGCTAGAGAACATGTTAACTATCCTGTAATAAAGCTCTGTTATTTCCTGATGTGAGTCCCTGGGTAGTGTGAATGGGTAATGTGCTCTGCTGCTAACTGAAAGGTTAAAGGTCGGCAGTTAAAGTCCACCCGGTGGTGCCTCGGAAGAAAGGCCTAGCAATCTGTTCCTGAAAACTCAGCCATTGAAAACTCTATGGAGCACAGTTACAGTCTGACAGACAAAGGGTCGCCATGAGTCGGAGTCAACTCAACTGCAACTTTTTTTTTTCTTCTGATGATGAAATAGGGCAAAGCAGAAAGAACTAGAACCCTGGCATCCCATGCTCTGTCCAGTCTAAGTGTTGACTAAGACGGCCCTCAAGCCCTTTCTCAGCCCATGCCACGCTTAGCACAAGCTTAATATTCTGGTGTTCTAAGGCCACCGCACATTAGAATTAGCATGTTGGATGTGAAGCGAAGAGGAGGAAATACTGCTATGATATCTGTGGTAGTTGTCAGACAGGAGCTGACAGTAAGTAATAAGGTCAGAGCCAGTCACAGAACCCAAATCCAGCAGCCTGAGGCCATTCCGTGAAGGGGCAAAGACCTTACATGTCTCAGGAGGCCTATAAATCACTGCTGTGTTATAGAACCACACAATTACTGGCAGTGTTAGTGGAAAAAAATCATTAATAAATGGATAAATTATGTTCACCATCGGTGATCTGGAAAAACAGGGAAATAGATCTAAATTTTTTAATTCAACAGATGTCTAATTTTATACAAGTCTTGCTAATTTTGTTTCCTACCTTATTTTCGTGTCAATGGATATTAACCAAGCAAAGAAATAATGGTGGTTTTACTTGTTTCTTTTTTTAAAACTTTCTATATTAAAAAAAGAAGAAAAGAATAATATCTGTTGACATTTCACTTGAAGCATTTTTAAGGGCCTAATCAGCACTGAGGGGAATTAGGCACAATCAAATATTGCTTATAGGAATAATTCAGGTAGCTGCAAAAAGAATTCATAAAGAATTTTATTTTGGAGAAATATGTTTGGAAAAACAAGGGCTTTGACTTCAACATGATATATGAAGTTTTGACAGTGGGGCTGGACTCATTTCACTGGCTCGCAATTATTGGGTTAGTTGACTAAACAACACCAAGCTCCAAATGTAGGCCTCAACTAAATTCATTTTATCCAAGGAATTAGTTTGGGTTACCTTACTGATCAAATTGTGAGGATGGTGTGGGAGTGGGCAGTGTTTCGTTCAGTTGTACGTAGGGTCGCTATGAGTCAGAACCTACTTGAAAGACCTAACAACAACTGATCAGATTAACTGGAGAATTGCTGGATTTCTATGATTTAGAAATAAACTTCTTTGGAGAGCAGTAAGATTTTGGTATTAAATAATTAATCTTTATAAATAGGCAGTTGCTGAATTTTCAAAGTTGTTTAAAACCTACTGAACTTGTGTGTCGCAGCCTAGGTATTGTAACAAAATATCACCTTCCTTGCTGCCACCTACCATGACCCTGCAGATAAGTATTAAAATGAAAATATAGTATAAAACTCTGGGAAAGGACCAATAAGCAACATCATGACAAACAGAATATATTGAAGTTGTCAAGGATTTCAGTTTACGTAGATCCACAGTCAATGACCATGGAAGCAGAAGTCAAGAAATCAAACGATGTATTACATTGGGCAAATCTGCTGCAAAAGACCTCTTCAAAGTGTTGGGAAGCAAAAATGTTACTTTGAGGACTAAGGTGTCCTGACCCAAACCATGATAACTTTCAATTGCCTCATATGCAAGTGAAAGCTGGACAATGAATAAGAAGACCAAAGAAGAATCGATGCCTTTGAATTATAGTGTTGGTGAAGAGTAGTGAATAGAATGTGGACTGCCAGAAGAAAGAACAAATTTGAATGAAGAAGTACAGCCAGAGTGCTCCTTGGAAGCGAGGATGGCAAGACTTCGTCTCACATACTTTGGACATGTTATCAGGAAGGACCAGTTCCTGGAGAAGGACGTCATGCTTGGTAAGGTAGAGGGTCATCGAAAAAGAGGAAGACCCTCAACGAGATGGATTGACATAGTGGCTGAAACAATGGGCTCAAACATAGCAACCGTTGTGAGGATGGTGCAGGACCAGGCAGTGTTCGTTCTGTTGTTACATAGGGCTGCTACGAGTTGGAATCAACTCAATGACACCTAACAACAACAACGAATATTTGTTGTTGTTGTTGTTAAGTGCTGTTGAGTTGATTCTGACTTATAATGACCCCATGTGACAGAGTAGAACTGCACCATAGGGTTTTCCTGGCTATAATCTTTACAGGAGAACATCACAAGGTCTTTCTCCCACAGAGCTGCTGGGTGAGTTCGAACTACCAACCTTTTGGTTAGCAGCCAAGTGCTTAACCATTGTGCCACCATCTTTCATTTTTTTTGTACTGTGGTGGCTTGCTTGTTGCTGTTATGCTGTAAGCTGTGCCACCAGTATTTCACATACCAGTAAGATCACCCATAGTGGACTGGTTTCAGAGGAACTTCCAGACTAGGAGAGACTAGGAAGAAAGGCCTAGTGATTTACTTCTGAAAATTAGCCAGTGAAAACTCTATAGATCACAACAGAACATTGTCCACTGTCATGAATTGAATTATGTCCCCCAAAAATATGTGTCAGGGTGGCTAGGCCATGATTCCCAGTATTGTGTGATTGTCCACCACTTTGTCATCTGATGTGATTATCCTGTGTGTTGTAAATCCTACTCCTTTGACATTAATTAGGCAGGATTAGCGACCGTTGTATTAATGAGACACAACTCTATCTACAAGATTAGGTTGTGTCTTAAGCCAGTCTCTTTTGAGATATAAAAGACAGAATCGAGCAGAGGGACATGGGGACCTCATACCACAAAGAAGCAAGAACCAGGAGAATAGTGTGTTCTTTGGACCCAGGGTCCCTCGACTGAGAAGCTCTTCAACTAATGAAGATTGACTACAGAGAACTTTCCCCAGAGCTGACAGAGAGAGAAAGCCTTTCCCTGGAGCTGGAACCCTGAATTTGGACTTCTAGCCTCCTAGATTGTGAGAGAATAAATTTCTTTTTGTTAAAACCATCCACTTGTAGTATTTTTGTTATAGCAGCACTAGATGACTAAATCATCCAATACACTACTGAAAGATGAGCCTCCTAGGGAAAAGGTACTCAAAATACAGAGTGGCCACAGCAATGGATTCGGGTGTACCAAAGATCATGAAGGTGGTACAGGACCAGGCAACATTTTGTTCTGTTGTACAGAGGGTCTGCACGAGTTGGAGCCAACTTGACGACAACTAACAACATATCTGTCTAGTTTTTTTTAACTGATTTTTATTTCTCTTATGTATGGCAGCAGAAATGTTGAACTTCTTATCACTAAGGCTCTCATTTTCATTTGTTTGCATGTAGACACCTGGGCAGCCTTGTAACTGTCCTCACAAGGCAGCATATGCGATGGCTCTGGTACATCAGTGGAAGGAGGCCCTTCTGGATAGGCAAGTATCTGTGCTGCACATAGGAGGCAGGCAAGGACACCAAGAGACTGGATACCTCCCACTGCTCGCTTCCATGGACCAATGTCTTTCTGGTCTACCAGTAATGACCAATGGCCTAGCTATGTTTGATGGTTTGACAGTCTGTCTTTTAAAACCTCTCTTAAACCTTTTGACACAATGCTTTCATTTTCAAACATCTATCCCAAAGAAATAATTAGTGATGTGGTTAGATTTATAGGTAAGAGAGGTCACCACAATTTCTAAAAGTAAAAACATTAGAAATAGCTATAAATCGGGGATGGTTAAATAAATTATAATATAGCCGTATGAGGGAATATTTAATATTTAATGCTTGGGCCTTAAGTATTAAAGACATGACAAAATGTCTTTGGTGTATTTATTCATTCAATAAATATATGTTAGATGTATATTATGCTATATATAAAACATGCAATTTATTGCAGTTGTAGCAAGATGCTAAATAAAACAAGGTCCACAGCCACATAAAACATGAAATAATTTAGAATGAAAAAATTAACTTATATGCATGTAGTGTATATTTATACTGAAGTATTAGAAATGGTTTACATCCAGGTGGGAGTTAAAGGTAATCTGAATTTTATTTCTTAATTTCTGAGTTTTTTAATATTTTCTACAATGTTAACAACAATATAAATCTTTTAAAGCCATTTGAGAAATAGAATTCTCATGGCACATCAAAGTCAGTGTTCCCACCACCTTCCCTGAAAAGTATTGTATTTGAGGGAACTATAAGAAACATAGTGTTGGCTTCACAAAATTTTTGTAATACTCAGTGGGTCTCTAAATTCTGAAATTGTCTGAGACTATTAAACTGTTGGATAAGTTTTCTCTACATCCACAATGCCTGATTTCAAGGCTCCATCCTCACAAAATAGTTAGCATACCATTATCTGATCAATAATTCAAGGAAATGTTCCAGAAGCAGATTGGGTGTTGCTAACCCAGTGGATTCCATTTGAATCCACTCAAAAATATAGACTGAGAATCAGTTGAGGGAAGGTAGTATGCTAGGTAACTAAGACTATTCACACTCAAGTCGGGTTTAGGAGCTAACAGACCATGCTGTTCCAGGGGATTCCTTCCTCATTTCATTCCTTTTTATTTCAATTAGGAAAGCGAGTGAGTGGGAGGAATGCTTCTTTAAGAAACTATTAGAACAGCTTTACGGCATTAAAGTGCAACTTGCGAAAACTGCCAGTGGGAGTAGGGGGCAAGTGGAGAAAAGCTGCTCTGTATTGGGATTGTTCCAGACTAAAAACAATACATAGAAGGCTGCTTTCAAATAGGAAAACCAAGGTATCTAAATCATGAAGAACAATAGACAAGAATGTATCTCTTTCTCTGTGAAAGGAGTTCTGTGTGTAGGATAATACAAATAATAATAATAGCTGCTATTTATTAAATACTTACATATGCCAAGAGCTTTACATGCATTATCTTATTTAAATCTGAGAACAGCCCTTGATGTACTATTTTTATCCCCACTTTTTAGATGAGTTTCAGAAAATTCAGCTTAAGTTTCTGCCCAAAGATGCTGGGATTTGGACTCTGGTCTGCCTGACTCCAAAGCCTTGTGCTCTTAATTGTATCTTATAGGATTCCCAACTCCTATTACTTGTTTTAGAGTCTCTGGGTGGTGCAAGCACTTAATGCACTCAGCTGCTAACCAAAAGGTTGGAGGTTTGAGTTTACCCAGAGGCACCTTGGAAGAACGGCCTGGCCATCTACTGCCAACAAATTAGCTATTGAAAACCCTGTGGATGACAGTTCTAGTCTGACATACACATGGGGTTGGTGAGTCGGAATCTACTCGATGCTAACTGGTTATTACTTGTTTTAGAACCTGGGTCCAGAATACATGTGATTCCTGAGTTTAGAACAACAGACTGGATATGATGGCTAAGTATAAAGGTAATAAAATAATTTCACACCTTTTTTTTTTTTTTTGTTCACATTAGGTTTGAATGACCAAGTGCATGCTGGCCACTGGGAGTGGATTGGTGGTGAGCCCGTCGCCTTCACCAACTGGAGGAAATTACCCCGTCAACATTCAAAGCCTGGAAAGAACTGTGTTTTGGTTCATAGACAAGGGAAATGGCAGGCCAAGGACTGTAGGCAGGGCAAACCCCACAATTATATATGCTCCAGGAAACTCTAAATGTAACTGGCCTTCTAGGTGCCCGCCTGGGATTTCTCACCTATTTATTTATGGGATGTGTGAATATTGCCCACGAGAAAACCAGTTGTCATGACTTACTTCTTATATTTTTAAAATCATAGTTTGTAAGTGATCCTCTCTAGTTAAAAATGGAACAAAAATTAATTGTTCCAGAAAGATTGATAAATGAATATTTCTTATAAAATGAGATACAATTTTTGCATCTCAATACCTTTTAAAGTAAAAGCTTGCAGTATTATAAGATGTAGGATTTGTTTATTCCAGGTGACACCCCCCAGCCCCTAAATCTCAGGCAGCACCAATATCATGGTCCTTGGAATGTTTTTGTTCTATTACTTCAAATGAATCCTTTCTGAAATCTATATTGCAGGCACTCCTACCATTTCAGTCTGAGTGAAGTTAACCCTTCCAGTTCATTTGACCAAGGTTGAACTGCAAAAGGTTGGTTTGTCCCTTTGGAGCCCTTTTAAATGTGAAACCTGAGATTAGAGGCTGTGGATAGAAAGAAAGGAGAATTCTTTCTCTAAAAGATGTTGTGGAGAAGGAAGGCTTTAGGTAGGGGAACTACTCTGTGGAGGCTCATCTGCAAGGCTCTAGTTCAGGTAAGCATTCAGGGGGCTCCTTGTACCTCCGAGGTCTACACATCACTATTCATTAGACAGATCGCCTTTTCCAATAAGAATGCTGACATCATACCATTCCAAAGCTAATGACTGGGCTTCCCCAGCCTTGCAGAATCATGAGAAATTTGAAGTTCCATGAGTCTCTTTCTTCACCCGCATGTATACGTAGTACTGACTGGCATTTCTCGAGGATATTTGAAATAGAGAATATATATGAATGATGGTTGATGTATGGAAGAAAAATACTGCTTCCTCAGAAGTGTACCAGTGAACTGTGCTGATGAATCAAAGAAAAGTAATACTGAAAACAGAGCCCTTGAAAGCCTATATTCTTGGAAAAAGATTTCACTGCAATGTTAAGCCCTTAAATCTTTAATCTTTGCAGAAATGCCATACTAACTTGATTCTCTAACGTAAAGGTACCTTATTAATTTATCATCTCAGCTGAGCGAAGCATTTTGTAGCGGTGAAGCGTGTTGCATCCTTACCAGTCTGAAATTAAGGTTCTAATTAGAGGAAATTAGAACTTTATTTCTGAAATATTTACTCCAGATTTTTCTCTTTTCCTAATCAGTGAAAAGTATAGTTGTGCCAAATGTAACCTTCTGCTTGAGCATCAGTGCAACTTCAGGATCAAAACTGGTTATTAAGTAGAGTTTTGGTGCAGGTTTTATTATAACCATAGCTTGCGTGAAATTAATAATGTTTGAAAAAATTCAGTCCAGCTTTGGATATTAAAAACATGACCAGCTTCCTTTATTTCTGCTTATTTATCAAGCATTTGATTAATAGAAAAATTTACAAAGAGAGGTTAGGATAAGACTTAGATGTTCTACCTCTTACTTAAATCTAAACATCGTATGGAGTCAGGCAGCTCCTTACCTTAGATGGGAGACTGGTATAATGTACAGGTCTCCTGTGTCACACAGGCAGTCTCTGGTGTTTAACCAAAAGGTGTCAAATCCATCCTCCTGGACCAGCTCCAATCAGATTCCTTCTGATCCACTAGCTTTTGCAGTGTGGAAAGGTGGGATGCAGGTTAGAGAGGAGATGAGTTGTTGCCCTGAAGGATTAAGTCCTAGAAGGGAAAGCAGAAGTTCAAGGAATGAAGAATTCAAGGACCAGTCCTCTCTACTGGAATTCTAGAACTATATAAACTATTAAAACTGGAACTATAAAGCTCTGTCAACTATGCAAAACCCAGTCAGCATGGTAGTTTTATCATACATTTCTGCAATGAAAATATTTAAATACAATTGCAAATGTTAGCATAAAGAGAGAATGTTTTGATTTTTATAACAACTAGAGGATAACTACTATAGCTGTAGTATAAAAACTGTAATATACTAGAAGAATATGTTAAAATATTCTTAATCATGAAAACATCAATTTAGTTGTAAAATCTAAGTAATTGAAATAAGATGCAAATAAAAAATCGGGCAAGTTTGGGTGCTAGGCAATTATGACCTTCATTTCTTCCTCATGACTGGGCTTTGGACTGGGGGGTGGGGAGCAGGAAATAAATGGTTGGCATGATTCCTTCTATCTTGATATTCCACTGCCACCCTCTAGTTTCTGGTGGGAGTGGGAAGAGAAGACATGGAATAATGGGTAGAATGGAAATGGGAGATTAGTGTAGAGAAAAGGAAAGAGAGGAGAGAAGGGTTGAATATGAGGGGATGGAGGCAGATGGTAGCTAGGAAAGAGAGCATCAGGAAGAAGAACCTGAATGTCACCCGGGCCCCTCTTTCCAAACTTGAATACCGACTCAGGAAAAGTCTTACTTTATCCACAGACATCAGTCCAGCTCAATAGTGTGTAGCTTTTCAGAATCTTCTGATTTTTGGTCTTTAAAAAATACACAGCGTATATTTGCGAAAAAACAAGCTTAAAACAAGATATGATAATCATTTCACCTCCTTCCAAAATATGGTGAAAATGAACCAGGTGACATTTATTTACGATTCTGTTTGTGTTTAATACAGCCAAGAAAATATATACATCTTTTAATTAACACTATTAAAAAAACCAAACCTGCTGTGTGTAATTTAAACCATAAACTGGTGCTGATTAATTTTCTTCAACAAGACAGCATATTAAATGTGCTGTATCCAGTGTTGTATCAAAATTAATAAAATATACTTGTTTCTAGTTTTGGTCCATTGTTCCTTAAGTTTTTAACATTCTATGTTTTTCCTAGGTACACATGGGTTTTATATTTTAATGATTTTACCCATTGTAAGAAGGGATGGGGGAGAAAACTCAGCATGTCTCTTTTGCCCTTATAGCTTAAACCAGCCTTTAGTTGTATGGATTGCTATGAGTCAGAATCGACTTGATGGCGATGGGTTTAGTTTGGGTTTTAGTTGTATGGCATCTATCCATCCATCCATCCATCCATCCATCCATCCATCCATCCATCCATCCACCGTTCATTCAACAAATGCTGAATATGGAGTGCCAACCCTGCCCCTGACATTGCTCTAGATGCTAGAGAGATTGTAGTGAATAAGACAGGAGTAAGAGAATAAAAGTATAAAAGCATAGCTCAGATATGCATATTTCTTATAATTTTTTTTAAGCCTCAAGTTTTTACCAGGGAGGAAGTCGAAATCATTGATTACATTATTCTTTAGCATTGAAGAGGAATACATAGATACAAACAGCTTAGACTGCCTTTTGTTATGTTTCTCTCCTGATTAAGAAATGGGTGATAACTTCCTGAGTTTATAATCAGGTCAAAATGCCATTGACAGAGCTTGCCTCAAATTTCCTGTCTCTAAAATCAGGTTAGTAACTAAAGTTTTTAAATCTGGCTAATTGATTTTGTAACAATCCATCCCCTGCACCTCCCCCCGCAAAAAAAAAAAAACCCAGTGTGTGTCTCTGTTATCTTGGAAATTTATTTTTGGAGTAACAGAAATAAAAGAGAGAGACCTTTGATACCATCTTGTTTAATACCATTTTTATAGCACGGAAGACTGAGGTCATCAGGAATTAACATATATAGGAAACATTATGCGAAGTAAAAGAAGTCAGACACAAAAGACCACGTATTATATGATTCCTTTTATATGAAATGTCCAGAAGAGGCAAATCTATAGAGACAGAAAGCAGATCAGTGATTGCCGGGGCATGGGAGAAGGAGGAAATTGGGACTAACTCTTAATAGGTATAGCGTTTCCTTTTGGGGGAATGGAAATGTTCTGGAATTAAATGATGGTTGCCCAACATAGTGAATATACTAAAAACCACAGAAGTGTACACTTTAAAATGGTGAATTTTATGTTACGTGAAATATATCTCAATAAAAAATGCTATAAAAATTCACCATATAAAATTTATTTTAATAAGGTGTAAATGGGTTGATGTATTTGCTGTGGGTTTACCCAACTTGTCCAAGATACATTTTCTAGCCTTTGCCTCATGCCTCACCCAGGTTTTAGTTTATTTGTTTATACAGTTAATTGAGGGGAAGTGAATGCTGATTAGACATTTTTTTTAAATATGTAGTACAGCTCCATTGATATTCCTCCCTCTTCTTCCCATCAATCATGGGAGAACTGCCACTGAGGACAGGGCGTGTCTGGATGTCTGTAATGTCTAGGACAGTATGACTTTCTTAAAATTAACTTTACAAGCCTTTAGAACAGGACTGTCCAGGAAATGAATATACTATGCTCATAACTTACACATACAGCTGTTCATTTCAAACAGTTTTTATAGGTCTTATATTCTGGTAGGCAATAAATTTTAGTTTCTCTTAAGACAGAAAGGAACAAAAATCAACTAACCCTTCCATTGAAGGCCTCATGGTGACCCATATAACACTTTTTCCAAGCAATGACGTATAAATTCACCTTTTGCATCTATCCCCATCTGTATTTTTGCTTTCCATAGGCAATCAATCCCAGCTTACCCTGTAGAAGAAAAATGTGATCAGACCCAAGTATATGCTGCCTGCAAAAGATACACTTTGAATACCAAACCAAAACCAAACCCTTTGCTGTCAAGTTGATTCCAACTCATAGTGACCCTATAGGACAGAATAGAACTGCCCTATAGGGTTTCCAAGGTTGTAAATCTTTATGGATGCATACTGCCACATCTTTCTCCCGAGGAGCAGCTGGTGGGTTTAAACCGCTGACCTTTTGGTTAGCAGTTGAGTGCTTAACCACTGCACAACCGGGGCTCCTCACATTTTAAATATAGATACTCAAATACGTTAAAGGTCCAAGAAAGGAAAAAGACACAACATGCTAAAACTAGTCAAAAGTCAGCTGAAATGGCTATATTAATATTAGACAAAGTAGATTTTATAGTGAGGAAATTTACCAAGGATAAAGAAGGTCATTTCATAATGATTAAGGGATCAATACATCAAGAAGACACAACAATCCTACACATACAACAAAGCTTAAAAATAACATGAAGCAAAACTTACAGAATTGCAAGGGTAAATAGATAATAGAATAGAAACAGAAACAGACACATGGTTAAGAGCTTGGCTGCTAACCAAAGGGTTGGCAGCTCGAATCCACCAGCCGCTCCTTGGAAACCCTATGGGGAAGTTCTACTCTGTCCTGTAGGTCACTATGAGTTGGAATTGACTTGATGGCAACGGGTTTTATTAATATAT